GGGGGGCGGCCCCAGCTGCCGCCCCTGGGCCGGGCGAGGCAGCGAAATCCCTCCCGACCTGGGCCGGGAAGGGGCGTGAGCTCCATCTACCAAGCGCTTCGCGTAACCGAGCCCCGCGGGCCAAACCCGCCATTTTCGGGCGAGCTCCCGGGGAAAGGTAGCTCCCGTTTTCAGCGGCGTGAGATGCGACTGAGGGCCGTCCTCGTAGGTCTCCAAGGCGAGTTCCCCTGGCAGCACGGGCGCGGTCTGTTCTGCTTTATCGCATTAAATATCTGCGCAGTCCTTGTATGCAGCACCGCCAACGTGCCAGCAGCAGGTATCGGTTTCACTAAACACGCTGCCATGAGAAGGATAAACGCGAGAGCTTGCCAGCAGGCTCTTTGAGGAGAGCATGAGGGTGTCGGCGCAGACATCCCATCGCTGCCGGCCCGGCGGCAGCCCGCTGCTGGTCCCGCCAGCCGGAGGAGCAGGCCATGCTCACCCACCAGGCAGGTCAGGCAGACACACACGCTTGTTTGCCAGCACTCCGTCCAGGGAAAATTAATTTAAATTTATGGAAACATCTAGTTCCCAGTGAGCATTTAGAGATCCTAAAGCTGTCGCTCTTGTTTCAAAAAACCAACTCCTTCATCTGTTACCTCTTCAACATGTTAAATATTATTGAGGGGTTTTTTACATCTTCATCTTTAATCTCAACACTGTTGTTTATCAAAATATTTTAAAATATGTAAGATGTTTAATTAGGCATTCCATTATTTGTTATGCGTCTGCATATATATGTCTGAATTTTCTTCAGATACACCTGGCAGAAGCATAAAACCATAGACAGAAAAGAATATCCGAGATGCTCAGAACCAGCTAGGACAGTATGTGACAAATATTTATCTCAGCTATTAAAAAAAAAAAATTAAACGCAGTTTAGAAGATTGCCTGGCGCCGGTTCCACCTCTAGTTGGCAAGAGTTCCTCACTGCAAAGTCAGTTTCTTCCCATCCTTCCCACAGAGAACACAAAAAAAGCCAAAATCCTCATTTATGTTAATACAAACTTATTTCCTCTGCTTTGCTATTCTATTTCTTGACTAAACAAGCCCAGTTTGTTCAACCTTCACCGATTTCCCTGTCTTGCTGCTCCTTCCTCTGGATTCTCTCCGGTTGTTTACACTTCTGCTGACCCGCAGCGAGAAGAGCGAAGGCCCCTCTCCAGCAGACAGACGCCTCTCTTCGAGCGGAGGGGACTGCCGTCCCCGGGCGGCTCTGGGGTCTCAGCCCTCCTCACAGCACCAGGCCTCGCGTTCCGTTCGTGAGCAGGCGTGACTGGCCAGTTAGCTATATAATGTACACAATATAAAACATTGTATACAGAAATACAATAATTAATTGGAAAATAACTAATATTAATATTTCAAATTAGTTAGCTGGCGTAGCTGGAAAAAGCCCACGACACTCTCCAGACACACAGGTGTTCAGCAACAATCTGGGCACCGGTACCTCTCCTTCAGTTAACACCGTTTATTTTTATCTGCGCCATTTTTTATCTGGAATAACCCATATTTTCTCGCAGTGCTCCTCCGACCTTTACCTGAGGAGGTTTCTCAGCGCTGGGAGCTGCCGGCCTCGCCCTCCCCGCGGCCTCAGGGCGGAGCC